TCCATTCTAGGTTTCTACATATGATAATTGGATGAAGTCAATTTAATCATCGTACTAGAACCCGATGACTCTTCCATTTTATTAGTGTAACACCTCAACTACCGACTCGTAGCTCTAATGCCACTGTTGTGGTGGAAAGGGTATAAACACAACAAACTACGGAAGCAAACCCCAAGAAAGTCTCCTTTCCTACTACCAATAAATTAAAATAACCAACTAAGCCAATCAAACAAGCAAATGATTGAAGAAAACTAAACCCTTTCCTACTACCAATAAAATAATTCAAGAACTTATAAAATAAAGGAGGCACACGAATTTACGTGAAAACCCAAATCGGGAAAAACCACGAGACTGTAACAATAGTCAAATCTCCACTATCACAATAACGGGAAACAATCTTCACCAACCGGTGGATACACAAGACTTCACCCAAAGGTGGATTACAACAATACTCTTCCACACACCCCTATCACAAAATAGGACTGGAAGAATCTCACCAAAAGAGAGTTAAACCGAAAACTAAACCGTAGCTTTCTTTTTTTTTCTCTCGCACAAAACCCTTGCACGGTTGCCCTAATTTTCCTTCTCTCTCGACTGAAAAACATGCACAAATTGTGCATAAAGCCTTGCTTTTATAGGCATCAAATACAAAACCCAAAACCCAATAGAAGTAGGTTTTCTTTTCTCGGTCAAACACCCCAAAACCAAAGCCTAGTTAGGCTTGGTTTTATTTTTTCTTGTTGTTGCTGGCCCAATTGAGGGGAACAACCAGCCTAACAAAAAAGCGTAACTCTCTGTGCTTGACTTGAAGTCGTCTTGTATGGTTTCATTTCCATCACATAATAATTTTCATTCCACAATGGTTAGAAGCGGCTCAAGCTATTTTGGAGCCTAAAGCGATTTTCAAATTTGAGGCCTAAAATTAAAATTTAATATATTTGTATTTTTTTTAAATATTTTTTTTTTATATAATCATTAAGGCTAGGCTGGCTTTCAGGTCTCTTCTTACTCAAAAAAACTCAAGGGGTATACCCAGAAGGTAAGTTTTTGAGCAAGACAATGCTGTATAATATAATGCACCCAAGGGGTCTACCCAAGGGATGAACATATATATTATATAGTTCCCTAGTTCCATCCCACCCGATAATTTTTATTAAAGTCCAAAAAAAAAAGTGGCAGAGTATGATCTAACCACTATTACATCAAGCAACCCTGGCCTAAAATAAGGAAAGGAAAGTTGATCTAAAATCAACAATTTTAACATTTCTTGGCAATGAATTCATAGAAAGAAAAACTTGCGAATCTCCTAGAGCAGCCATTTTTGCAAGTCCGTCAGCAACTGAATTTGCTTCTCTAAAGATATGAGCTATTGTAAACCCATTCCCTTGTAGCAATGCTTGAATCTCTTGCATATACAAGAGGTATTTCCAAGGAAAGCCCATTCTCCCAATGAAAGCCTCACACAAAACTTTGTTATCCGTTTGCACCTCCACACTATGAAGATTCAGTTGCACACATTTCCTCAATCCAAATAGTACCCCAAGCGTTTCAGCAAGAAAACTATCCCAGCCACCCAAGTAGCCACATTCTCCATATAAGAAAGCTCCCTCTGAACCTCTAATAGCAAAACCATATCCCGCATCCCCCAAACATGAGGAGCCATCCGAGTTAAGAACAAAAGAATTTGGAGTCGGAGGATTCCAAAATTAATCAAAATTAATCAATTACTAAAATGATGAGTACCGGTAAACACCACTACCAAGAATTATATAAACATTAAAGAAGAAGAAAGATGGCATGTCAATTATATACAGAGTATCACTATTAAATCAATATGCAGCTTGAACACTACTAAGAAAATGAGAAGATTAAATAGTTATTAGTTGTGAAGATGATAATCAAAGCCTTTGAAATAGTATTCAAGCCCTTCTAAATTTCAGAGTACAAATGAGAATCAAATTTAGGAGGCCTAAATATTAGGTGAATAATTTGGAATTTTGGATTAATGTTGAGATAATTTTGGATTGTCGCCCCTTAATCATTTAATTTTATAAATATTTTTAAATATGCATTATTTTATTAATAATGTATAAAATTTTGGGACCTTCCAAAATTTGGAGCCTTAAGCCCTATCTTCACCGGCCTTACCCTAAGGCCGGCTCTGACAATGGTGAAAATTAGTTCCATTTGTCCCAAAAATAGAGTGGAGTTTACCTTGGTTCAACAAGCAGGAGTAATAAAATTGGCAAAAGCTTGGAATAGGCTGATTTACAATATCCTCAGATGCTAAAACAAGTCTATTTCAGCAACGACTGCCTCGAGTCTTTGAACTTAACGCGGTGAACAAGATTTTAACAAGAATACATATGTGGCCATGGATAATTTTTGCAGTATTTGGGTTTGGGTGAGAAAGAATATTACAGAGTCACTTGGTGAGGGTCATTCTCATCCTGGAAAACAATATCGTCAACTTTGTCATCCCGTCAAATCTGACGTCCAGAAGGACCAGAAAAATGGTGGGGCAAACTCTAACTATTACCCGAAAATTTTGATTTTGTTCAGGGCATTTCTACAAGAAAATAAATAAATAAGAATTTAAAAAGTGGTGGAAAAATTATGCGTCTCAGTAAAATATATCTTCCCCAATTATTGAGTTGACTTGGAGTCGTCGCATGGAATATTCAATATTCCATTGACATTGATGACAATTGCTCATCGACGGGAAACAGCTCAGTCAAGAAAGTTCATCATCATCTGTGGGACATTGTAGTAATAGAGAGCAGTAGAGTAAGAGCGGTAGCCCTAGTGCTCGACATCGACATTGACATCTGAGAATCATAGAGATTAGTTAATAAGTAAGATAGACCTAATACCTATAATACCTTGAAGGCTTGAACTCTTAGGTTGAGTGAGTTCATACTTACTTATTGGATCTCTTTAGACCTGTTATTCCGGGTCGAAATTCTTTGGGCTAACTGTTGACCGAATGGATTAACACATGTATTGGTTTCTTTTGGTTAAAAGAAGATTGATACATCTAAGGCTCCGCTGCAAGCCCAGAACATCATCCTTTGATACAGCCAGCAGCCATGACTTCAGGGCGAAAACTATGTTACTACACTGTCCTTGCTTGTTTGTTCCTTTCCACTTCCATGTCGTTGTGCGCCCAACAATTTTACAATTCCACTGCAAATGTTTCCACTACATGGATTAATCAGCCTTCAATGATTGTCAAGGACTCGGGCACATTCAGTCCAATCCTGATGAGACTAAATGGTCCATCAGCATTTTACTGCGGCTTCTACTGTGTTCTTCACGACGGCGATACGCCTGATTCTCCTGATTCCACAGACTGTTTGTACTGTAATGACCAAAGGAAAAGAAACTGCACATTCGGGGTCTTTATCACCATCAAGGGAGATGACTTCAACAATGATGCTGATTATTACATCCGATCACCGCAATTAGTGTGGTCACCCAACAGGAACAATCCTGTTCAAGTGAATGCATCATTTCAGCTCAGCCAAGATGGAGACTTGATGTTGACAAATTCAGATGGCGCTTTAGTGTGGTCAAGCAAAACAGCAGGGAACTCTGTTGCCGGGATGAACTTGACCGAAGACGGAGATCTTGTGCTGTTTGGCCAAAACAAGCAACCCATTTGGCAATCTTTTGATTATCCTGCTGATTCCTTGCTTCCAGGGCAGAGGTTGAACACAGGGCAAAGGCTGACAGCTAGTGTTTCAGCATCAAATTTGAGTGAAGGTTCGTTTTACCTTTCTGTTGATTCCGAAGGTTGGGGAGCTTATGTAAACTCTAATCCACCTCAAAGATACTATTCCTCTAACTCTAACAAAGTTTCTCAATATGTTGTACTAAAAAATGGGAGCTTAATCTTCCAAAACTATATCAACACAAGCCCCCGAAGAAGCTCCCGACGCATTACTCTCTCTGCAGCATTCATGAAGTTGAAGCCAAACGGGCACTTGAAGGCATTTCAGCATGGAGAAAATGTTTGGACAGAAGTTGATATTGATCTCCTAGACATAATATCTGGAGATTGCGGCTACCCCCTGGTGTGTGGAAATTATGGTCTCTGTTCAGATGGGGTCCAATGTGGTTGTCTTGAAACCACAAGTGATCAAGGGAACTTTTTCAGAGAAATAAATTTTCGGAAACCAAATCTCGGATGTTACTTGGCCACCCCTATTTCGTGCAACGAACAACATATTCTTCTGGAGATGAGCAACTCCTATTACTTTGCTTTTACGCCAGATCAACTAAAAACGACATTGGATGACTGCAAGAACCTTTGTCTGACAAACTGCTCCTGCAAAGCTGCTGTTTTCGGAAAAGAAGCCTCCAAGGGTAGAACTTTAATAAATGGCAGCTGTTTGTTACTAAATGAAGTCTTTTCTATTGCCAACAATGAAAACAGTTTGGCATCACCCTATAATACTACCCTGTATGTTAAAGCGCAACTTCCTTATGAGACGGTGAAAAGTCCTAATTATGTGAAGGTCTCAACGCTTAAAGTAAAAATACTTGCATCTGCCGTGGCTACTATCTTTGTGGTGTTCTGTGTGATTGGCACTTGGCTTTTGTTTTTCTGGAAGCGAGATAATCAACAGAGTGAAATCGAAGAAGATTTTCTAGACCAGGTACCAGGGATGCCTACAAGATATTCTTACGAAAACTTGAAAGGCGTTGCTGAAGATTTTAGTAAGAAACTTGGGGAAGGAGGCTTTGGATGTGTTTATGAAGGAAAGCTAAGTGATGGTACCACCGTAGCAGTCAAGTGTCTTGATGGCTTAGCAAAAGTGAGAGATTCCTTTCTTGTGGAAGTTAAGGCAATTGGAGGAATTCACCATGTAAATCTGGTGAAACTAATCGGATTCTGTTTTGAGAAATCACATAGGCTTCTTGTTTATGAATATATGGCCAATAAATCCCTGGACAGGTGGATCTTTCATGAAAATGAAGAAAAGCATTGTCTTCAGTGGCACATCCGGAAAAACATCATCACAGATATAGCCAAGGGATTAGCTTACCTTCATGAAGAATGCAGTCCAAAAATAATTCATTTGGACATCAAGCCAGAGAACATCCTCTTGGATGAGAACTTCAATGCAAAAATATCTGATTTTGGGCTCTCCAAGCTGATTGAAAAGGATCAAAGCAGAGTCATCACGACAATGAGAGGAACGCCCGGATACTTGGCTCCAGAATGGTTGAGTGCAGCCATCACTGAAAAGGCCGATGTTTACAGCTTTGGCATAGTAATGTTGGAAATCATTTGTGGGAGGAAGAATCTGGATAGTTCTAGGATTGAGGGAGAAAAACACTTGCTTGCTGCCTTTAAGAGAAAAGCTGAAGAAGGAAAACTAAAGGAATTGGTGGATGAGAGAAGTGAAGATATGCGCGAGAACGCTGAAGAAGCTGTGGAGATGATGAAGATCGCGGCATGGTGTCTGCAGGGTGATTTCACCAAAAGGCCGTCGATGTCTTTAGTGGTTAAGGTGCTAGAGGGATTAATTGCATCTGAAACCAACATTGAATATGATTTCTTGCATCCAAAATTCGTTACAAGAATGGAAGGCAGTGACCCTTGGGAAGAAGCTACTTTTGGTGATTGTACAAGGTTATTACCATCAGCATTGTCAGGTCCAAGATAATACCGCTCCATCTCCATTCTACTTAATAATCATATAGTTTAATTGTTCATTTTGATCACCATTCGTAGATGCTGCAACTGTAATTTGATAAAACCATTGTAAAGAGCCTTCTGTCTGTAGTGTGGATTATTAAACGCCTTCTGTTTGTAATTTCACCATTACTTTTTTCTTCTTCCAACCTCCTCATGAGAAGGAAGTTTTGCGAATAAAATTTTGGTTTTTCGTCTGCATTTCTTTCCTGGTGGTTTGTTCCACGTTCGCTTGACTGTTAACATACAATTTTCTTTCTTCTACCTTGACTTCTGTACGATACTTTTCTTCTCTGATGGTTATTATGGTAACTACTTGTCCTCTTTAATTGTATATCAATCATTAATTTCTTGGGGTAATCATGCATTATGAGAGAAGTAACAAAATTTAGGTTGAATTATCCTTAATTAAACATTACGACTTACCCTTCAAGATGATGATATAAACCGAAAATCAAATGATTGGAATACACTATGGTCAGTAATGTTACATTAGTTTTCTCTATCTATTATAAACCATCACCACGATCGAATATTGTAATTTCACTTTTTACATATGAACAAAAGTACAGTAGGAAGACCGCTACATAAATAGCAGCATTTGGGTGGATCGCGGTCTTTACAGTGTAACGTAATGGAGAGGGAATTGAATTATTGGCTCTTGGTGATCATACTTGCTCCATCCTAATGAATAAATGTCAACTTTCTAAGATTTTGTTTGTTTAATTAAAATCAAGTGATATAAAAAGCCTAACAATCACCGCATTTATTTTCCTTGACTTAAGTCGTCGTTGCCGAAGGGTTTCCTTTCCATTTCCACCACATAATGGTTTCCAATCCAGGAGCCTCCAAGGCTTCAACAACGAAAAGATAACTTGTGTTCTATCCGTCCAAAAAACAAATGGACCCCTTTTTTGGGATAATACTTTAGTTCAACGATTAGAAGTCTTTCAACGGTGGGAGCATTAAGTAGGAGATAGCTTGAGAATTGCTGATTTAAAAAAATCTTCATATATGTGAAAACAAATCTCTTTCAGCACCGACTATTTGGAGTCTTCCAACGTATACTACACTCCAAAAAGTAAACGAAAGCGGAACTTTTTGGTCTGTGCTTACTGAAAAGGTCAAATGCATCATTAATTTGCTTCTTTCGATTAGAGAGATTCAGATCAAGAAGCCATTTATTTTGTAATATCATCATCATATGTTATGCTTTTTGCTTAAATAAGACAGAAAATCCTCTGTTTTGAAACAGCCATGATTTCCAAGCAAAAACTGTGTCATGTCCTTGTTCTTCTTGCTGCTTTGTTTCTGCCCTCTTCAACCTTAGCCCAAAAATTTTACAATTCTACTGCTAAGCTTTACAATTCCACTGCTAAACTTTCCACTTCATGGATTAATCAGCCTTCGATGATTGCCAATGAAACAAGCTTTGTAAGTCATACATTTAGCCCAATCACGAAGAGAGTCATTGGTCAATCAGCATTTGTCTGCGGCTTTTACTGCAATAATGATGGTAATTTAAGTGATATTCGTGCATCCTCTAAAGACTGCATATTTGGAGTCATCATCAGTATTTATAAGAATGAGCCTTTCCAAGACGGTATTGTGGGGTTTCCGCAAGTAGTATGGTCAGCTAACAGGAACTATCCTGTTCAGGTGAATGCTACATTGCAGCTCAGCCAAGATGGAGACTTGATCCTGAAAAATTCTGATGGCACTCTGGTATGGTCCAGCCAAACAGCGGGGAAGTCCGTCGCCGGCATGAACTTGACAGAAAATGGAAATCTTGTTCTCTTTGGTCGAAACAATGAGCCCATTTGGCAATCTTTTGATTATCCCACTGATTCCTTACTTCTAGGACAAAAGTTGCTTAGAGGGCAGAGGCTAACAGCCAGTGTTTCGGCATCAAATGCAAGCGAAGGTTTGTTGTATCTTTCTGTTGATTCCACAGAATTGGCTGCTTATATAAACTCCAATCCGCCTCAGAAATATTATTCCTCTGGCTTTGATCAGAATCCCTCATATGTTGAATTCACAAACGGAAGCTTCCATTATTACACCATTTCATCAACAGCTCAATTTGTAAAGTTTGGATCAGATGGACACTTAAAGGCATTTCGATGGGGTAATGGTCCAAATGGTTTGGAAGAAGTTTCTGATCTCCTGGAAACAGGATCTGGAAACTGCGGTTATCCCATGGTGTGCGGAAAGTATGGTGTCTGTTCGGATGGTGGTCAATGTGGTTGTCTGGATACGACAAGTAGTCAGGGAAACTTTTTCAGGCAAGTGAATTTCCTTCAACCAAATCTTGGGTGTTCATTAGTCACACCAATTTCTTGTGATCACTCTAATTCTCATGGTCTTATTGAACTGAACAACACATATTACTTTGCATTCCAGTCGTACAAAGAAAATACGTTGGTGCAGGACTGCAAAAATTTTTGTCTAAGAAACTGCTCTTGCAAAGCAGCTCTTTTTGTTAAAAGTCAGTATGGGAATAGACATTCACGAAAAGGCAGTTGTTTATTAGTTGATGAAGTCTTTTCAATTGCTAACAATGAAAATGGAATTATATCCTCCTATAACACAACTCTGTATGTCAAGGTGCAACTTCCTTATGCAAAGGCCTCAAGGCGGAAAGTAACCGTACTGGCATCTGTCATTTCAGCTATTGTAGGATTATTTTGTGTCATTTGCTCCTGGTTTGTTCTAATCAGGAAGCAAAATAAGCAACAAATAGAAGAAGATTTTCTAATCCATGTACCTGGAATGCCTACAAGATACACGTACGAGAACTTGAAAGCCGCTACTGAAGATTTTAGTAAGAAGCTAGGAGAAGGAGGCTTTGGATGTGTTTATGAAGGGGCACTCAATGATGGAACCAAAATAGCAGCCAAGTGTCTTGATGGTTTAGCGAAAGTGAAGGATTCTTTTCTTGTGGAAGTAAAGGCAATCGGCAGCATTCACCATGTTAATTTGGTGAAACTAATTGGTTATTGTTTTGAGAAATCACACAGGCTACTTGTTTATGAGTATATGGCAAATAGATCCCTTGATGGATGGATTTTTTGCGGAAAGGAAGAAAGCAATTGCCTTCCTTGGCAAGCCAGGAGAAACATCATCTTAGACATTGCCAAGGGATTAGCCTACCTTCATGAAGAATGCAGTCAGACAATAATTCACTTGGATATTAAACCACAAAACATCCTCCTCGATCAAAACTTCAATGCCAAAATTTCAGACTTTGGGCTCTCCAAGCTGATTGAAAAGGATCAAAGCAGAGTCATTACGACGATGAGAGGAACGCCTGGATACTTGGCTCCTGAATGGTTGAGTTCAGCCATCACTGAAAAGGTAGATGTTTACAGCTTTGGCATAGTGTTGCTAGAGATCATTTGTGGGAGGAAGAATGTGGATTGGTCTAGGATTGAGGAAGACAGACACTTGCTAGCAGTCTTTAAAGGAAAAGCCGAAGAGGGAAAACTCAAAGAATTGGTGGATGAGAGAAGCGAAGACATGCATCACAACATTGAAGAAGTTTTGGAGATGATGAAGATAGCAGCATGGTGTCTGCAGGGTGATTTCACCAAAAGGCCTTCAATGTCCTTAGTAGTGAAGGTGCTAGAGGGTTTGGTTGCAGTGGAAACCAATATTAGTTATGATTTCTTGAATCCAACTGTAAATAAAAGAATGGCAAGTTGTGATCCAAGGATTAATGCTGCCAATGTTGATGCTACGAAGATGTTGGCATCTGCATTGTCAGGACCTAGATAGATCAAAGTGCCCTCCTCTCCATTCAGCGTATATTCAAATATTTTTTTGATTTGATCATCATTCGAGCATATGCTTAGAATCATTCTAATGGGGTGCTCAGCCTCTTTTGGCCTTATAAGAAGCCTCCATTTTCACCAGAATTTTACTGCCTCTCAAGGAAGACCGAACAAAATAGACATTTTACAAATACATAATTCAGTCGAATTGTTCAGGATTTTAGGGTAAAAAACAGTGCGAGAAAACTGAAACTAAGGAGTAAATTGAAAAGGGATTCCTTGAGATACGCAATAAATTTTTGTAACATAATGTTAAAAAAAAAATGATATTCAGGGGATTTAAAGTGCCATTTTATTTGCAGCATATTTGATAAAAGTGTCGAGATGCACATCTGAACTCGGCAACTAATATAACATGTCGACATAACAGGATATACACGCATATCTGCCTTCAATGTTTGTCAAGGACTCGGGCACATTCAGCCCAATCCCAGATGATAGTAAATGGTCCAACAGCATTTTACTCCGGATTCTACTGTGTTCTCCCCGGCGATTTGGCTGATTCGGGAGACTGCATATTCGGAGTCATTATTACCATACATAAGAATTACTCTGACCTTGATGCTGAGTATTACATCCCATCTCCACAATTAATATGGTCAGCCAGGAACAATTCCGTGGAAGATAGTGCAACATTGGCCCTCGGCCCAGATGGAGACCTGATGCTGATAAATTCAGATGGCACCCTGGTATGGTCTAGCCAAACAAAAGGGAAGTCGGTCGCCGGAATGAACTTGAAGGAAGACGGAAATCTAAGGGCTCTTTGACCAAAACAATGAGCCAGTTTGGCAATCTTTTGATTATCCCACTGATTCCTTACTTGTGGGTCAGAAGCTTAAAAGCGGAGGGAACCTGACGGCCAGTGTTTCAGGTTCAAATTGGAGTGAAGGTTCGTTATATCTTTCTGTTGATTTCCACGGGTTGGGTGCTTATGTTAATTCCAATCCACCTCAAAGATATTATTTCATTAGCTCTGTTTATAGTCTCCATATGGTGTTGTGCTCGCAGCGGGAAGCTTAATCTTTCAACGCGATATCAATGAGACCATCCAAAACTTCCAAATCAGCTCATCAGCAGCAGCAGCTCAATTCATGGAGTTCGGGCGAGATGGTTACTTGAAGGTATTTCAATAGGGTGGAACCGTGGTAATGATTGGGAAAGATTTGCTGATCTCATAATAATTGATTCCAGAACATGTGGCCACCCCTTAGTGTGTTGAAACTATGGTTTCTGTTCGCAAGGGGGCTGGTGTGGCTGTCCTAATACGACGATTGATCAGGCAAGTTTTTCGAAACACTAAATCCTTTACAACCAGATATTGGATGTTCGTTGGTCAGGCCAATTTCTTGCGATCATTCCCAATATCATAGTCTTCTGGAGCTGAAAAGCACATACTACTTTACTTTCAATCTCGATGAACAGCAAACATCAGTGGAGGATTGCAAAAATCTTTGCCTGGGACAGTGCGCCTGCAAAGCTGCTGTTTCCAATGAAGAATACAAGGGTAAACCTGTGGTAAATGGCAGTTGTTTATTTTCAGATGAAGTCTTTTCCATTGCAAACAATACAAATCGGATGGCATCAATATATAATACAACTTTATATGTTAAGGTTCAACTTCCTTACGGGAATGAGGAAAGTCCTTACAGGCTTATACCAACGCCTCAACGCTTCAAGTGAAAATACTGGCAGCACTGCAGCTATATTTGGGGTGTTTTGTGTCATAGATGTTGAATGACGAGTCCAATATACACGGCCCTCAACTATTGCCAGCTCAAGTTCGAGAAACGATCCAACCGACTATTCAAAAGCTTCTATGTCGGTTCTTAATTATTTTCTAATGAGTCCATATTCGCCGAGGATAACTGGACCGGCCTATCGACCAACTACGGCCCAACCGACCTGATAAAGGCGATTCTAGAACATGAAACCTAGAAGGATTTAGCATCCTTCAAGGTGGCTTCATACCTATAAATAGGGTTGGTCACACCACAATACGGGTACGCTATCTCTAGCACAAAACACTACTCATATACGTTTCTTAAACCCTTTTTGCTAATTTAAGCATCGGAGTGTCTACCCTTGGGAGACCCCCGATGCCCTCTTTTGCAGGAAACCCTAATCAGAGTTCCACTATTGAACCGGAGGTGTAAATCCGAGTTTCGTCAAGTGGCACTCCTAGTGGGACCCAAAAATTAGGGTTTGTGTCACCAAACTTTCTCAAGCGTTCGGAACTTTTCTTAACCTTTGATCCCTGCTTCCAGTTAGGGTTCTCTATCAAACAGGATGGTCGTAATTGACAGACCTCAATCTAGTACAGTGTCAACAGACCGACAGTCAAGCCCTGATGACAATGAAATCCTAGCAAAATTTCGAGATAAGCAGAAGCGAAAGAAGAATGGCCAGCGGCCGAGGAAAGAAAGGACTCCCACGAGGCCGCCTAGTCTCGGGGATAAAAGGGAGGAAGATCTGAAAGATCATCGCAAGGGCCCCAATCCACATGATGAGGAAAGATTGGTCGAAATTGAAGCGGAACTCAAAAGATTGAGAGATGATAACGACCTCAATCAAAGGAAGAAAAAGTATATATTGGAGGCATACAAACATTGTTGTTTGCTAGGTCTACCCGATCCTTCGGATCAGGAACTACATGACATAATTGACGAGAAAGAAGCGCGCAGAATGCTGACTTTGCTCGAAAAGAAAAAAGGTTGTAGAGAATCCCCTCAACCATGAGACTTCCCAAGTAGAATTCTTTGCCACCCCTGGGGCAACCTTCTGGGACTTGTTCGGAAGAATATATCCAGCATTCTATACAGCACTCGAGCAATTTGCAAAAGAACGTCAATGCAAAAAGCAATCTCGCGATCAACACCTCCAAGATTCACCTAGTGTCGAGTTGTTGTCCGAAAAGAACTGGAATCCCCCACCGAGAGGCAACGTATACTCCTGTTTAGGACCCAAAGCTTCCTCGGAAAAGTCCTATCGCAATCACCATGACACATATCGAGACACAAGATACCCTCGGTACGGTCTATATCATTATGATGATTCACGACCAGAAGAACCCTTCGTCCCTTGATGACAAGAGAACCATGGCAACCAAAACACCTCCATTCGTGAATCAATGCGAAGAATGCTAGGAATGATCTTCGATAAAAGCCCTTTCATTCCAAGGATCTGTGACTATCCAAAGCCTCGTGACTTCGACTTCCCCAAAGACTTCGTCAAGTACTCGGGAGATTCTGATCCGCAACAATTTTTGCACGGTTATGTCCAAGTCATGAGGATCAGAAATGCATCACTCGATTTCATGGCAAAGGCCCTTTCATCTTATCTCACTGGACAAGCGCAACGTTGGTTCGAACAATTGCCAGAAGGGAGTATTGTTAGCTTCGAGGATTTATCGGTCAAATTGGCTACTCGATTCTTCCCCAGCAAATAGATCACCAAGATGTCAATCGACCTTTCCTCGATCAAGCAAGGACAAAACAAAAGTCAGTCTGATTTCCATCGTCGTTTTATCCGAGAAACTGTCCAAGTAGATTACCTTGACGATAGGGATGTACAGAATGGGTTTATCCAAGGCCTTAATACACAAGAAATGTGGGCCACTATTGAAAGTTACATTCAGTGAGAACAGACACTCAAGCGCTCACAGGAGTCGTTCTCAATTGCAGGAGATCGAGGGGGAAGAGATAGGTACATATCTACGGCGAAAGTTAAACCGACATCCTTGCCTAAGCTTGACAGGTAGTTAACCCCGCTACTGAAGCCCCAACGAGAAATACTTCAGATCCAAAAGGACGAACTTCCTATTCCAAAGCCCCTGGCTCATAATCCGGATAGGTCAATGGATCAATATTGCGAGTACCACAAGGACCATGACCATGATACAGAAGATTGTAGAGAACTCAAGCGAGAAATCGAAGCTGGAGTAAAGTCTGAAAAGTTTCAGCAATATGTACAAGGTGCACAAAGTGCTCCTCAAAGAAAGGGAGGAAAGTTCACGGGACCTTGAAACTTTTTCAAACGAAATAACAACCGTGGTCCTCTAAGAGATAATCGAGTAAACAACTGACAACCATGAAGCAATGTGCAACAAACCGTCCAACAATCCCTTGACGGGGGACCTCAACCAATCCAACAAGTTCCTCCCCCTAATCCTGCTAAGCAAATCACCCACAATGTGAGAGCCATCTATGGTGCTTCACTCGAGGTTCTTTCTACCACTGCAATGAAAGCCTCGATTCGAGAAGTAACAAAAACTCCTCCTCAAGAGCCCAATCACAAGTGGTTCAATGGAACTGAGGCTATAGTCTTCACCGATAGTGATGTAGTTCCAGGCATTTGTCCACACAGCGATGCCATGATCATCAAGGCTATCATAGGAAACGTTTGCGTAAGCCTTGTTTACGTCGATAACCGAAGTGCAGTTGACATCATCTACAACAATTGCTTCAAAAAGATGAACATACAAAATCCTGATTGGCGGCCAGCCACGTTACCACTCATGGGCTTTTCTGGGCACACAATAATCCCTAGCAGAATTGTAAGGCTCCCGATCACGGTAGGGTCGTATCCTCGACCGGTAACCCTAACAATGGACTTTGCCATAGTTGATGCACCCTTGCCGTTTAACGTAATCCCAGAACGTCCATGGATGTGCCAAGCCTGTGCTGTTTGGTCCCCCTATTACCTAGTAATGAAATTCCTGACAGAATATGGGATAGGTATAGTGCAAGGGTGCTAACACAGTTCTCGAGAATGCCTCCTTACGGTGGTTAAAATGGGAAAGAAAGCGATGACATCAGGATCGACCAGCTCTACGTCAGGTTGTTACTCAGTTCAGCAGGGGATTTCATCAATAGAATCTCCACAAGAGAAACAGTCCATGGATCTCCACCTTCCTCATTAGCCACCGCTTAGCAGTAAAACAGTAGAACTGGTCTTGGACGAGAAAGAACCTCGGAAGACAATCCAGCTGGGGGTATCTATAGACGGAATATTGCGAGCCGAGGTAACTGCCTTGTTACGCGAATTTTGGGATATATTTGCTTGGGCACCATCCGACATGACTGGTGTTCCTCGACAAATCATTGAACATAAGCTAAACGTGGATCCTCATGTCAAACCCATGCAGCAAAGAAAGAGAATCTTCGCTCGAAATTGTAACAACGTCATCAACGAAGAAACACTTAAGCTCGTTCGTGCCAACATCCTACGAGAAGTCCTCTGGCCCACATGGCTAGCTAATCTTGTCGTTGTCCGTAAACCAGATCTTTCTTGGTGCATGTGCCAAGACTATACCGACCTTAACAAATATTTTCCCAAGGATTGCTACCCTTTGCCAGTCATTAATCAAATGGTTGAGGGCATTACAGGGTTTAGAACTCTTAGCTTCCTCGATGCATACAAGGGGTATCACCAAATTCTCATGGCTCAGGAAGATGCAGAGAAAACGGCTTACATCACTGAAATTGGAGTCTATTGCTACGATAAGGTGCCGTTCGGGTTAAACAATGCTGGGGCAACATACCAACGCTTGGTCAACATGGCGTTCCATGATCAAATTGGGCATAACATCGAGATCTATGTTGACGACATGGTCATCAAAAGCAATCTCGATGATATAATAGTAGAAGACATGTGGGAAATCTTCACGATTCTCCTTAAAATAAACATGAAGCTCAACCCAAAGAAGTGTACCTTTTGTGTCGGGACTGGGAAATTCCTAGGTTTCCAATTCTCCAAGGACGGCATAAGTGTGGATCGAATCAAGGTCGAAGCAATCCTTTCTATGGAAGCCCCTAAGACAGTTAAAGAAGTGCAGAAACTCACTGGCTCTCTTGCGTCGTTGAGATTTCTTTCTCGTGCTACTGAGAGAAGTCTCCCTTTCTTCAAAACTTTAAGGAAAGGGAGGATGTTCGAGTGGAATGAGGAATGCCAGCAAGCCTTCCAAGACCTGAACGAGCATCTGAAACAGCTACCTATCTTAGCCAAGCCAGAACCGGGGGAAAGTTTACATATATACCTGGCTACCTGAGAGAAAGCCGTATCTGCCATCCTAGTCCAAAACAAAGCCGACAAGGAGATCCCCGTTTACTTCGTCAGCAAAGTGTTACAAGGAGCAGAGTCACAATACACGCTCATGGAAAAACTTTTCAAGTTTGGTTTTGGCTGCTCGACGCCTACGCCCGTACTTCCAAGCACACCCAATATGAGTATTGATAGAGCAGCCTATTCAGCAAGTCCTTCTCAAGCCTGAATCCTCTGGTCGAATGATGAAGTGGGCAGTAGAATTGGGAGAGCATCATGTAGAATATAAGCCACGAATGGCGGTCAAAGGCCAAGCGTTTGCAGACTTCCAAGTAGAGATGCCATGTTTTGATAATGTTCCAGTAGTCGAAAAGCCTAAGAATCACTCCGCTGCCCACGTCGAGATAAATCCTCGAGCCTGGATGCTATTCGTCGATGGCTCTCGTTGCGATGAGGGGGGAGGAGCCGGTATCATATTGGCAAAGCCATCGGGTGACCCCGAAGTCAAGAACATGAAAGAATATGATGCGGAATACACCTATGCATTAAGATTCGGCTTCCCGGTTACTAACAATGTGGCTGAATACGAAGCATTGATAGCAGGGCTAAACATGGCTCTAAAACTTGAGGTCCAAAAAATCCAAGTCTTTAATGACTCTCAGGTAGTGGTAAATTAAATTGCAGGTGATTATACAGAAAATGAAGGGCAACTCAAGCAATATCTAGAGAAAGTTCTCGAGTTAAAAGATAAGTTTGAAGAATGAAATATCTCCCACATCATAAGGATAAAAAACACAAGGGCAAAAGCGCTGAGCAAGTTGGCCTCCTCAAACTTTGCACACCTCAGTCACAAGGTTTGGGTAGAGATCCTCCCCGAGCCCAACATTCAAAAAGTGCTGACAATGACCATCACCGAGGACAGTGACAAATGGATGACCCTGTTCATTCAGTATCTAGCAGATGGGATGTTACCCAATAATAAATCCGACGCTCGAGCACCCCAGTTGAATGTGCCCAAATACACATTGAGAGATGGAGTGTTGTACAAACATGGATACCTACTACCCATGCTGCAATGTGTCGGACCAAGACAAGCAGCATACATCCTCGAGGAGATTCACGAGGGATCATGCGGAGCACACATGGGAGCCAGGGCACTCGCTAAGAAAGTACTGCATTCCGGGTACTTTTGGCCCACAATTTTCAAAGATACATATCAATTCGTGCAAAAGTGAGATAGATGTCAATGCTTTAGCCCTATTACTCGACAGCCGCAGCATGAGATGGTCACCATTCAAAGTCCTAGGCCATTTTACCAATGGGGCACCGATATCATTGGCCCTTTTCATCCAAAAAGGGCAGGAGGAGTACGATGGGTAATAGTAGCGGTGGATTACTACACCAAGTGGGTAGAAGCTAAACCGTTGGCCTCAATATCTGAAAGACAAGTGCTGAATTTCTTCTAGCAAAATGTCGGCTGCCGCTTTGGAGTCCCTAGAGTTGTTGTCTCCGACAACGGCACTCAATTCGAGAGCAACCCTTTTAAGTCTTGGTGCGAGGAATTGCAAATTGAGCATCGATTTTCGAGTGTAGCTCGCCCTCAAGATAATGGCCAAGCAGAGTCTATTAATAGAACTATCCTACATGGAATCAAGACCAGGCTACGTAATACTAATGGAGCTTGGGCTGAGGAACTATCCCATGTCTTGTGGTCATATCGTACCACCGCCCACTCCTCGACATATGAAACCCCTTACAGCTTGGTCTATGGCATGGACGCGATTCTCCCAGTCGAAATAGGCCTCACAAGTCCTCGTACAATCAACTTCGTTGAGAGTACTAATGATGATGATGTCAGGATAAACATCGACCTGCTCGAGAAATGACGAGACACCGTCAGAATAAGGAAAGCAAAGTACAAGGAGATCCTCAGAAAAGTATAATAAGCGAGTCAAGGAAACAGACCTCGCAGTGGGGAATCTCGTACTCAGAAAAAATGAAGCCAATAGAGCCGAGACTCCTGGGAAACTCACTGCAAATTGGAAAGGACCTTACAAAGTCATTCAAACCTCTCCAGCAGGCAACTATCATCTACAAACCACGGATGACAGTGGAACCATCCTCCCTGGATGGTGGAATATTCAAAACCTCCACAGGTTCTATTTTTAAGCCCCTATTTGCTACATGCTAGTTTAGGTTACTTGCCTTATTTGCTTTATGTGCTTTACTGCTTTCGCTTTTTCATATGTAATGCTAACCCAGGTCCTTGGAAAATTATTCAATAAAATTCATTACATATTCTTTCACGCTGTCGACATTATCATGACTAGTCCTCGAGATGGACTCCCTTTCTAGGGCCATCCTCGTTCAGAGCCGTGTATTCAACATCCGGATAAAAAACAAGGAAATCCTCTCATACCCATCGTAGATCACGGTAATAAGTCGAGGAAATCGTACCCAGTTCCCTCGAGAGTGCCGTGTACTTTACATCCGGCCAAGAAAGTGCTATATAAATACTACTCGAGAACGAATTGAAAAATGACGCCGATAAGGCTTGAATCAAAATACATTGCCCTCACACCATGTGCAGGATGGGATAAATACATCTGTTTATCCTTAAATGCTAAGATTTTCCCCCTTGGGGTTAAATTAAAACGGCTTGATCACGCCTGAGAATCCAAGCACTCTAAGCTGGTAGAAACACTGGCTCAACTTGTCTTTCAAGTCGACGAGTTCCCAGTCTTGCTCGTCGAGCCTAAGAAGGAATTCCTCGGTAGTCGTCCTCTCTCGAGCTTCTTTTTTCTCATCTAGGTCCTCGAAAATAGGAAGCGGGATCTCACGATCGGCTATCATGTTCAGTAGGATGACAGATTGTCTCGAATAAAATTCAGCCTCTTTAGTCCTTTTCTTCAGCATCTCGATGGCGGCAATGAAGCGTTTTATCCTAGTTCGGATCTGTTTCTCAACAAGTGAAAGGATGTGGAACTTCTCAAGAAACCATGGGGATACCATGATTCCTTCATGATGCTTCAATTGGGCATTCTCTTTCCTTAAGTTCGCCATTTCTTCACTTACATTTGCCTCTAGGATTAGGGAATCCTGATAGTCGAGGTCATATTGTTGAAGGTAGCGTTGATATTCTTCTTCTTTTTGCTTGAACCGATGTACCAGCCGAGAATGTATCTGCACATTGTATGCTTGCATTGCGTCCACAATTTCTTTCTCGAGGGTTCTTACAGCAGAATTACTGTGGACATTGCCCAACTTTCTCATCGCCGTAGAAACCATAGCATACATGAGAAAATTTTTAGCTTGATTTTCGTCCAAGATCATCAGTTGCACCTGGTGCACAAAGTACGATTCCTTGCATAAGACATCGGATAAAGTTAAAAGGATTGGATTTTATGTAAGCACCAACAGATACTTAGAATGTAAACATTCACTGCCATGGACAGTGATACAATGAATTTTCAAAATAAAGAAGGATCCTATTACAAGGAGACTGAATTCTTACAGCAGTCTGAGAACGAGAGTCGTTCCCCAGGTGGTTTTCAGACGATTCCTTGGTAGGGGGATTTCTTTCTTCGGCTCCTCTAGTATCCCCCACGATTGGGAGATCTTGGTCCTTGGCACCCGAATTGCCTGTGTCGTCCTCCTCAGCAGTCTCATCTTCATCTTCCTCTAGGTCAATTCCGAAATACCCGTCGGAGACTTCAGGTATCGCCAACTCCTCAGTCGGACCTCTTGTGAAAATAGAAGCCACATCCCCAGGAAATGAGACAATATTCTCGGGTGAACTCATCTTGGAAAGAGCTTCACACACGGGCTCCCACAGGGGTAGCTGATCCATGGATAGCTTACAAAGACCCTGGACCAAGGCTTCATACATGGTCTTCTTTGGGTTTTCCTTCAGAAATTGCTTAAGCCATTTAGCCTTAACAAGCACTTTTGACTTCAGTCTCTTCAAGCCCTCAACGGCAATTGCATGGCCCCCATACACCATTGAAGCAGTATTAATCTCCTCCACAGCAACGGTCATCCCCCCTGATGATAGCATCCTCCACCAAAACGCATAGTACCATTTATTGAGGTCCTCCTTGGAGATGTGCAGGTCGCAATATTCTTGAAGTTTCAGCTTCAATTCTCCAAGCTGAGTTTGGACCGAGGCAAGCTCTATTTCCTTGGCTTGCAGCTGCTGGTTCCTCTCCTCGAGAGTCTTCTTCTCGATTAACGCTTGGTCTCTCTCGGCTCGAGCTTCCGCCAGTTCTCGCCTTAGGTCACTGGATCTTTTGGCATGTTTCATCATAACTACGCTCATCTATGGAAACCAAACAAAGAAAAGATATACATCTATGCTGACATATGGAGATAAACGAATACGAAGAGATGTTTACCAGTATTAACCCATCTGTCTCTGTCAGGTTGACAGCAAATTCTTCTAGCACGGGGCACTAAATGGTGGGTGGATTGTCGAAGGTATGAACCGCGATAGAAAGGGCTCCCGCAGGTATCTCAGGGGGTAGGATGGTAACATTACTCGAAAGGGCCTTTTCCCTTCTCGACAGGGAGAGGTTGAGTGCTTGGCCTAGTCTTCTTCTCTACGGGCGCCTCCTTCTTAGTTAAAGGAGGAATGGTCTCCTCGCCCTGTTTCGCTGCCTCAATTTGCTCTGCGGAAGAAGTGTTGTTTTTTGACTTCTTTGTGGTTGGTCCCTTCTCGGACTCCCTTGCCATAGGCCTCTTCTTCTTCGTTATCTTCTCCACCATTGATTTTGTTGTGGACATATCGTCATCTGAGTTTACAACATTAAAAGGGTTGGAGTCACCATATAATCCGGAACCGGCATTTCCCGACGACATGACCTAAATACACCGAAATAATAACGAGATTAGTACCTTTATTTTCCTCGAGGGAGATATCGATAGTTTTGTCAGCTTCTAATTCCTCGACTGGCAAGACAAAAACGAAATGGTGCACAGCTCCATACTTGAGTATCTTGGGATATCTCTCAAGTCTCTTTAAGTCACTGTCAAATTCTTTGATCTTCTCCTCATCCTCCTTCGTCCATTCGTCTTTTACCGCCTCGAAACCTTTGGTTTCTCGATAATTCAAGCCACACGGTATTTTTCAGGTGCCTTTACGTACAAGAAATTGGGTTTCCATATGGGAGACCCACTATGAGCGTCTTCTATCTTTCGAGATCCTGATGCGAGGTTTCTTTTCACCATATACCAATCCTGAAAGGCTGTAGACGGTGTCGACACTCTAAAAAAGTACCTCCATAACATAATACAGGGTTTCACCTTAGCTCGTTGGCATTTCTTCACATAACCGAGAACGTACGTTACGAGGTTGGGGTGAATCAAGCTAGTGGAATTTTGTAATACTGCACAATATCCTCGAACAAAGGAAAAAGGGGGAGTCTCAACCCTAGAAACATGAAGTGGTCGTAAATGGTGATTTTTCCTTTTGGAGGAGTATTGGCTCTCTCAGTTCCTAGGGGAGCTCTCATTTCTAAATCCTGGGGCAGGTCTTATTTTGTTCTCTCCAATCTGACCTTCTCGTCGGAATTTATGGTGGAAGCAAAATCATCTATGGTTTTCAGATCTGGATTCCTAGTCATAGTTCAACCTAGATTTATACCAATCTATATTCAACCACAGGCAAATAAAAGGAAGTAAACGGAATCGAGAGTAGTAGATCTGGGAACTTACTTTTGGCACTTTCGGCAAAGGCTTCCACTCCCCTTTTGAGTTGTAGCTTCCCAGGGTTACAGTAGTCACTGACGGCGGCGATTCCTAGACTTCGGCTGGTGGGGCAACCGGGTGGGTTATTGATAACACAATTGAGAAACCTTTTCTGACCACGGCTTATTCTCGAACCAACGGAGACAGATACTACCGGCTGCAATAACTGGGGCACGACGGCGAAGGTAGGAAACTTAGATTTTCACATAATCAGTTTAGAGAATAGTGGAGAGTTGTTCTCTTTGCAAAATGAAATGGGGAGAATAATGAGGCCAACAGGTTTTATGTACTGTTGTTCCTGCCCATGTTTTGACGGTTTAGGCGAGTTCCAAGGAAGCAGTAATGATGAAGGTGACGTCAATTGGGGAACGTGCCCACTAATGATGCGCGATTTAACAATTTGGCCAAGACCTTAGATCGGATCCTGACCCGCGGGCTACTTTGTCAGACCTGCTCAACGAAGTATGGGCCGTGTCTTGTCCACTTCACTTGGGCCAGGTACAGGTCAGTTTTATTTTGTGTCAAGTCTTATTTATTTCATATAACTAATACTTGACAGGTGCACTTGACGAGTCCATATTTGCCGAGGATTACTGGACCGGCCCATCGACCAACTATGGCCCAACCGACCTGATAAAGGCGATTCTAGAACATGAAACCTAGTAGGATTCGCCATCCTTCAAGGTGGATTCATGCCTATAAATAGGGTTGGTCACACCACAATACGGGTACGCTATCTCTAGCACAAAACACTATTCATATACGTTTCTTAAACCCTTTTTGTTAATTTAAGCATCAGAGTGTCTACCCTCGGGAGACTCCCGAGGCCCTCTTTTGCAGGAAAGCCTAATCGGAGTTTCACTATTGAACCGGAGGTGCAAATCCGGGCTTCGTCACTTTCCTACCATGAAAGGGTTTCATAACCTAGATCTATAAATAGGCATCAACCCCTCACATCAAAAGTACGCTCTACGCACCACAATTCATACCTCTATTACAATTACTCCTATTGACTTAAGCATCATAGTGTCTACCCTCAGGAGACCCCGAGGTCCTTTTTTACAGGTTTTAGGGTTCCGATACCACCATGGCCGCCGGTTCAATCAACTGGAGACGTTGACACGAATCCATACTTCGTCAAGTGGCACACCTAGTGGGACCCTAAATAGGGTTTTCCCTTCCCAACAAATTTTATTGCGAAGAAGGAGTTGACGGATCAAATGTCTCCTTTCAATCGATTGATAATTATTGGCATTGCACGTCCCTAAAACCTCGAGCTACAGTGTCCATGTTTTACGTTCTTAATTAATTACACTTTGAAATCATCACGTTCTTGGCAACATGCGTGCTTGAAAACCTAAACTTATGAATTTGGTGGTTGCTGTCTATATTTAAAATAATCATCCTGCATGATTAATGAAGTAAGGCCAAACGTGGTGAAGGCCTTGAATACGAGAAAGCACTTGATATACTTATAACAATAATCTTTAAACTTGATTACATGCATGCTAGAACAGACCACGTAGTTTTGAGAATTTGATGACTCACTTGAGTTTTTTGCGTGGCTATGATGCATTAGTTATACAATATAAACTGAAGATTATTGATCTTTTTGTGATCTATGGATTAACATGACTCAAGCTTCAACCTCGAGCCGAATTTTGCTACCAACGATGATTAATTAATGATAAGGGTCAAATTTGATTTGGTAGTCCACATACCACGTTAGTTGTACGTGCGTTTGATTCCCACTTTTTCTGGGCTATTAATTGTGTACTTTATCTACCTAAATCGAGGTTGTCTTATTCATAAAAGTTCGTCATATGTGATGATCAATCTAAGAAACCCCATTAATGGTGGTCTAACATAAATTCTGATTATTACTATGGTTCTAGAAAAGGTTGAATATTTGAGCAAACTGCTTAGATTTGGCCTTCTTAGAGATCTAGCATTTTTTGTGACCATTATTTTTCAATCCACTTAGTACGTAGTAGCACATGAACCATACTAATTTGATTGATATTATGCCTATCAAAACCGAGAACTTGTGAATGAATTTGGTTTGCAATTCTTTTGATCAGCAGCGCCTCAGTTGCAACTTTGGTCGCACATTTGATAATTGATTTAGCTAGAACTTGCTCGATTGCTTATGTGATATTACCTTCCACTTTTGGAGTGTACGAGTTATATCTCTAATTATTTTAAATGCATGCTTCACTTCTGCCTATCGATTACTACAACGAATATCTAGTAAAAAGTGATAGTATTGGTAGCGGACATGGCAATATGACAAAAGATAAGTTGTCGAACCAGAAATTGCTTATTTGCTTTTATTTAGCATGCATATTCGATGTAAGACTTCCTCGAAAAATTTGATGACACATTCAAATATATTATTGAATTAAATCAATGGCATTCTATTATCTACTGCTAACGCATAATGCTCACTAGCACTTGGTGATTGATTTCTAATCTTTTTGACAAGTCTGCCATATATTTGTCTCTATGCGATGTTCAATTCTTGTCCAATGGCCAATGACTCTTTTCATAGTTGACTAAGGAAATTACTATCTGTCAAGTTTGGTTAGAGAAACTACACAGCCTCCTCAAATCAAATAAGATCAAGAAGAGCCAGCGAAAGCTATGGAGCTTTCAGTTACAACATAAATTCATATAGCCACATGATTCCACCCCACAGCTCGACAAGGATTCTCAATCTTGAAAAATTACAGAATGGTCCCCAATGATTTTATTATTTATATTTTGACATTAAAGTTTCTGATTGCACAGAATAGAACATGGACCGTTAAAAGACAGAAGAGTTAGTCGGATGAAATTCTCTTCAGCCGAGTCCCAACTTTACAGCTAGGGACAATTTGATATTAAACTTGCAAAATATACAGCTCCTTGAAGGGGAAAACATCCCTTGAACGCGAGCCAGATAAATTATCATAACCTTCTGCTACACATAAGCTCTTTTCATACACCGTTGCCTTCCAAACCTATTCAGTTTGAGGATGAAAAATTTAAGAGCATCATTATGCATAAATATACATACTATGCCTTCTTGAGCCTATTGTTGCTACAAAATCATAGTAGAAGCATGTCGATTGTATGTTACCTGATAAGGTTTTCTCACTTATATGGATCATTCCCTTTTTGCCATCATAGCAAACGAGAAGGTCCTTGAAAAAATATTTTAATAACACTTATAAATTGCATGGCATGCATGATACTACTTGCCATATTTTAATATCTGAAAGCAAAGTTCACTTGCTTACTTGTTCCACTCTAAGCCATACACAAATCTTGTATGCTCACCAGAGACCCTACCGCCTTATTATTAGAACAACTAACTTTTTGTCCAAAGTGATCAGCTATGTAAGCATAGCTCAATTTTTTGAGGGACGGAGGGTATATACAGTAGTGATCACACAGATCGGCCCTATGACAAGAGTGGAGACAATCTTCTCGACTGATTGGAAAAAAGATAAGTAGCTCTAAACTTACTCGTGCCATGTTACAATATTTCTAACTGGACTTCTAAAACAAATGCAATTCTGGTTATACTCTTTAAATTACACAGTGCCTCTCTTGAGGTGATCTAACGAAATGTATACAGTTACAATAATCTGCCCGAGCGTGGCACAATTGTACTACTTGGTTTTGCTGGTCTTACAATAAGACAATTCGAGGAGCATACTTCTCGAATCACGAAGCAACCCATTCTAAGGGGCAATGATCTGCTCGAAAAGGAAGAGAAGTGTTATTATCTCCTTGACATTTACATGTTCTCTGGCTATTATCTCCTTGAATAAATAGCATATCATATGAATTCATGTCTCAAATCACATAAACTACAAATCATGGAATAAGTTAATTGTAAACCTATTCTCCATACATGCAATGTGTGAATTTGCTAGTTTTTGTATCATTACATTCATGATAAATCATTATCTAACCCTCACACGCATCAATTCTTAAGGTCAAATCACTGTGTCGGACATCTACGCTCTCTCGAGTGGAGCATAATTGCTATTCGCGATCTAGATCTTGATCATAGCACATTATGTCAATTGCTTCCATATTTCTCGAAAAATTGTTAATGTTTG